AGATAGGATAGTGAGAAAATAAAACTTTGAACGTGATGTTCTTCGTGCTTTGAACTAAAATCGTTAGAATGTCCTTCCAGGGCAAAGTGAGGACCTGGTGTCATGCAAGCAAACGGTGCCCGAAAAGGCAGAGTGGCGGTTAGAGTTCGTTATACAATAAACGTCATGTTCCAAGTTTTGCTCGTACTTCAAAATTATTCTAATCATATTTCACAACATGTCTCGCTATCAGTACCAAAATTAGTATTGGATATGAACTCATCATGGCTATTTCAACCACTCATATCAATTAAAAGCGCACGTGACATTGGTTCAGTCCCACGCTTTCTCTCTACCAAGCACGTCATACCTCCAGGACCTGAAAGTTAGTACCAGACAAGTGCTAAAAGATAAAAGCGATGACTTGAACACTGGTTGCTTAACGCAAATGATTACATCGGCCGCATTTCTATCCAGTTATCTTCAAGATGTTGGAAACGCATACGAATGCATGGTATCAAGAAGCATTTAATCAATGCCAAACGCTTTTCAGTCATTCCTTAATAATCGGGAAACTTCTCACCGTGGAAAGCACATAAGTGTGACGTAGTTCTGGAAAAGCTTCCTCAAGTACTTTCAAATATTCGAGACATGCAATCTATTTTCTTCGAAAGGCAAATAATGAATTCTGCCAAGAGTTCTGGCGATCCCATAACCAGTAATTAGATGAAACATCTGTAAATTCACGTAATTTAGAAGAACTTCGTTGTTAATAAGAATTTTTGTAGCCGAAACTTGTTAACAATGCTAAATTCTTCCGGTCCTTGTCATCTATGCCTCGGCATGGGCAATCAAAAGTAGTTTCTCTTGTAAATAACACACAATACAAGGTTGATGTATAAAGTTTATTTTGTCGACGCTTCGACGTGTTTCGACTATTTCGCAGATGATCAAATTGAGACGATCCTCATAAATTTGTTGGTCCATTTGTGGTCTTCACTTCTTTTAGTTCAAGTCGCATCTTGATCGGAAAAGCACTGTCGAATGAAAACAGCAATCGGCAGGTTTATTTATACATGGGTGTTGTCGATTATATTGATTGTGCGTTGATAACATCTTGTTTTATCTTTCCGACAGGCACACCATCCTGTGGCAATCGATGTCACTACCACTATTACAAAATAGATGGGCTAGTAAAAGTAAACAAGATTTTATCAATAGGCAATCAGTATCATGAGCAACTTATAATCCCATGTATAGATGACACTACCGTGTTACCATATTCGAGCGACGTTACTTTGAAGAAGATCCGACTCAAGCAAGAACAAACGCAAAGATCACAACAAAGACGAACTATTGTGAGCAAATTTTCAAATTATTCGCCTTTGAAGAAGATGATAGACGTTGAAACGTAATCCAAACAGATTTTGAGTCAATCTCATAGCATGTATTGATGAAAAGAGAAAGTACTATAAGCAGTTTTATTGCTTATGCTAAAAGCATTTGAAACGCATCGCATATTTTCACAGTGCTTCAAGGGCAGAAACTTCAAATAATCATGCTACTTTCACTACCATCAGCACTATTTAAAGTTATTGTAACTGCATAACGAACGAAAAATTACTGCAATACTCATGTAAATGACTAAACATGGTCATCACTTGATAGACTGTAAATTTCGATGTTTCGAAGAATTAATAAAGCAGTGAGTGAAATGAGCATTTTATGCATATTTTAAAGTAGTATCTGAGGTATAATGGCGATGCGGTGTGAAGAAATCGCAGGAGTGCTTTTTTGAATTTAAATTCTCAAATGTAGATGACTTGATCTCAATACATTTGATCGTAAATGATGAGTCTCATGGATTCTGACTCATTTCTTTTACAAGTACTGACTTCACATTATTATCCTTATTCTTGTCCTGCCATAACTGGAAGAGTAGCACAACCTCTCTTTTTACATTAAAAAAGGAAGTTTCTCACACGTTGGTCAATGCTTTATAATTATACATCAAGGAGGGCACCCAAGCAAGGATTAATTGATCACCCATAGACTAAAACAAACTTTAACTATATATTTGTGTAAATTTCCAGCACACACACGCGATTCTGTGCAAATTCAATCAATCCAGTGTTTTAACACCTTCGTTTCTTTCGCAACGGAAACAAAACTAAAGCTTTTATCGAATGTGCGGAAACTTGTGTCGAAGAGATAGGCATTTGTCACTTTGAAGAGCTTCTGACTAAACTCCTACCTTAATTCAAAGAGCTTCAGACAAGAATAACCATGACTCAATTTACACTTAGATCTCACATATACGTAAATCAACGATTCCCATTTAGGATGAGTAAACATGACCAGGTGAGATGCCATGTTATCCCTAGGAAGAAGAGTCATAGTCAAATACATGCTGCTTGTGAGCATGTCTTACAAGCCAGCGTTTATTGACACTGATTATCAAAAAAAATAATCAGTAGATTTTTTTCATTATCCCGTTCATGCGCGATTACTGCGAAAACCTTCTATCGACTGAAATAGCAATGTCTCCATCTTTTTCGTAGTCTATTATTGGAGATGAGAATCCTTAGTTCTGCGCTCGCTGTAGATTGCAGTTATCGTTGTCGACCAAGTCCAATATTCTTTGGTGGCACTGTTGACAAAGTCGACCATTTCACAATATTTCCTTATAAATTTTTCACGAATTGAGCTGCCCGCCAGCGGCGACTGCACTGCAATTGCGCACTGTCCCGCACTGCTTCTATTAAAGCTAGGGAGGAAGTGTCGACAAAGTCGACCCTTTCATCGGCATCATGACACTTTTGCAACACCGCACCATATACGGCATTAGAGATGCGGTTATGGTAGCCGCAGGCAGAATCCGATTTATTCATCGCTCTTCGTCACGCCAGTGTTCGCTATCATTGTCATAGTCGTTGCCATCAATCAGTTTCACATTAAATTATTTTGCAATCTGGTTGGATCAACATAGCCATCGGAGTAACTGGACCGCTCTTTCTGTCAGCTTTTCTTGATCACTTCTTCGTTGATTAACGTCCTTATTAAGGAGCGCAACGCTCGTTGAATTAGTTTCTCTGAATTACTTGTTGAGGAGCATGGGAGCACGTTTATCTACAAGCAAACTGTCGGCGGGTTCTCATCAAATACTTTCTTGCCAACATCGTTTTACACGACTCTCTTCTGAGTGGGAGACTGTCTCTGTTACATCAATGTTCTCTACGACTCTGGTTGGACGTCAGAATACATTGCTTATTACAGTTCTTGTCATTACTAGTCATTTACATCACGTATTACCATCATGTCGATATCTTTATTGTTATTCGTCATACTGGTAGTGTTACTGTGTGAGTAAAGGTTTGATTACTCAAGTTTGAGGTTTAATCGACCGTGTGGAAACATCGATATTCCACTCAGCCTTCCTCACAGCACACCGCTCAAATTAAGAACCTCACTTAGGGGTGTCCTTTTGCATAATGCTCTTATTGCTTGCTGGTGATTGTCGAATGGCAAAATTTTCTCCTCGTATAGAGTCCATCCCGTCATTAGTGGCCTTGCTTGCACCCTCACAGCCCGCTTTCACTAGTTGTGCGAATTCCAGAATATTCTTTGACTGTCTCTCATTCTCGCAATGCCTGTCCATAGTGGTGGTTTGATTCGGGCATAGGAGCTGGTGCAATTATCCCACTGTTATCTGTAACGCAACGTTAGTTGTGAGCACAGCCGATTAACTATGCTCACGATAACACTCGCTCAAAGTATAGGTGGTCGTCCACAGGTACAGGCGTATTCTTGTGATGTTTAACTCTACAAATTTTTCATCCATCTGTCGCCTCGATCATGGGCAGACCCCAGACAACGAGGCAAAATGGTTGCAAAACGGATTATTCACATAAGACTCTGTTGTGCATTCGGTGGAATTGCGATAGCGTCCTTTATTATGAGCTCTTGAAATCTAGAGAAACGGTCAATGCAGCACTATATCAACAACAACTTACTAGATTTATTCAAATCAGATATATTCTCATCCGGTGATAACTGTGTGTGTGTACGAGCATTATTGTAATCTTTGGAAAGCTACTGTCTAATTTATAGGAGTCAAAAGAGATAATTCTGAAAACCTACTTTAAACTTTTTTGGTGTTTGTCCGCTATCCGTGCCCTGTTTGAATCCCTTGAGGAAAACTCAATTCCTGGCTTTTGAAAAGGTTAAATAATCCTTAGCAGCTTTAATTGAAAGACCTCGAATGGGGTTTCTAATTTTCAAAGGGACTCCATTACTATTGCAAAACAGCGAAAACATGATTTTGTTTCTCATCCAAGCATTTATTGCTAGGCAAGGGTATTTCTTTATTTCAAGTGTTTTGTTAACCACGCTCAAATTTCAATATATCTCATAAATATTATTTAAGCCAACATGTCATGTGGTGTGGTAATGGTCTCCTGTACAGCCCAATACACGTGTCTTGACCTTACAGTCTCGTCAGTGGGGCACAACCCCTCTGTCGTCTTTTAGTCTTCTAGTCAGTCCTCTCGGGAGCCCTGCCTTTACTATAAAGAGGCGACGACGAACGATTTACACTGCAAGTCAGGTATTATTACCACTCAACATACAGTGTTGTGCACTATATTGCCTTTTGGCTGACACTTTTATAACATTGTATCTTTACGCGTTAGGCGGGACTAGAACCCGCACCTCACTCTTTCCAGGAATGCGTGCTCTATCCGTTACACTACTGACGCCCATCTTACACATCGCTCTTTCTACGCTATAGCGCTCCTATCTGTCACCCGCCAGCCGTCAACGGCGTGGCCCGGGTAGTCGATCTCGACATTGAACCCAGTCACACTGACAGATATTGGGTATTATAGATCAAATGATATTCTGTTTATTTAACCGCTTATAACGGTGGTATGATGTTATAAATATATACCCATAGATGTAGAGCGATGTGCAAAACTGCAAATAGGTTCGCTATAGCGTAGAAAGGGCGATGTGTAAGATGGGCGTCAGTAGTGTAGCGGATAGAGCACGCATTCCCTAAAAGAGTGAGGTACGAGTTCTAGTCCCGCCTGACGCGAAAGTTTTGCTCATCGCTCTACATCTATGGGTATATATTTATAACATCATACCACCGATATAAGCGGTTAAATGAAAAGAATATCATTTGATGTATAATAACCAATATCTTTCAGCGTGACTGGGTTCAATGTCGAGATCGACTACCCGGGCCAGGCCGTTGACGGCTGGTGGCTGACAAATAGGTGAGCTACAGCGTAGAAAGAGCGATGTGTAAGATGGGCGTCAGGAGTGTAACGGATAGAGCACGCATTCCCGGAAAGAGTGAAGTGCGAGTTCTGGTCCCGTCTCACGCGAATGTTTTGCTCATCGCTCTACATCTATGGGTATATATTTATAACATCATACCACCGCTATAAGCGGTTAAATAAAAAGAAATATCAATTGTATCTTTCTTTTGAGCGCTTTATTAAGAAGAAAGGCATTTCTTTAGGCATGTCTCAAGGATACCAACTATGTTATTGGTCACACCTCTCCTATCGACCTTTTTTTTATAGACCAGCTCCAATTGACATAATCTTATAAAGAGGCAGCATGTTTTAAGCTGTTAGATCTAGTGGTACAGGTTCTAGTAGTTCCTCCTATTGAGACTCATCAGTACCGCCTTCCCTTGGTTCAGTCGTTTCTCTGAGGGTAAATAATCCTTTACAAATGCACTATTATATTATTATTACTGGTTTCTCTGTAAAATTTCTCTATAAACTTTGAAAATTACCTGGTGTCGATTCCTTTATAAAAGATTATTCAACTGCAGGGGATCGACTGGACCGTGGGAGGGTGGTACTGGGAGTCCCAATAGGACGAAACAGGTGCGTGTACATCACTGTACCTAACAGCTCAATGCATGTTACATCCTTGTGTAAATGGTTCTTGAAAAAACTTTCGTTGCGCTAGAACAGCCGAATGAAGATTCACTGGTATCATCTGCCGTCCTGTTGGTCGTCGAATGACTCGAGCGGGTACCAGTAACGCTTCAATTTTTCCCTATTACTTAAAAGAGTAGTCCAGTAGGTCTTTCTTGCCCTGGGAATTCTTTGAGCATCATATTTTTCTTTCAATCCTTTCGTGACGTGAAGAAATCGATCCATTGGGTCGGCGGTCTTGTTCTAGAACGCTTGTTATCGCGAGGAACCGAGCCGGTAACGGCTCTTGTCCATTGGTTGTCGTTGAAGCGCGTCACTTAGCTGGCTCACCTTAATGTTGATATCCTGGCGTGTAGAACGGCGTACCTGATCGTCGATCTTTGACGTAGATTGAAATATGAAATGCTTTCTCTCAAATGCGAGGTATGGGATACTCCTAGCATCGACCTTTCGACTGCGCGTTCGATAACGCCAAGTGATCTTTCATCCTGTTTACGTAGCGACCAGGTTCCTGCTGCATACATTAGGGCAGAGATACTCGTCGAGTCGAGAAGTTGGGCACAATGTCGGATGTACTTTGTTCTCTTCACTACATGTTCAATGCTCTCAAGCGTTCCCAATGCCGCTCGTTTCCTCTTGCTCAACTGTGGAGATAGGTTTTTTATTATGTTGATTTCGAGACCAAAGTAGACGTAACTGGAGCATTTGGAGATTTTCTTTCCATTGAGCGTGAATGTGGCATTCAAAACCCATTCGTTCTTTGTGAACATCGTTTTCGTTGGATTTACTTCAAGACCAATCTTTCCATAGGCGTTGTTGAACTCGAGCAGCATTGGTTTCGCTTGGTTGATTCTTGGTGTTATGAGGACGATATTTTCAGCAAGGCGAAGATGGTTTGATTCTTGGCGGTCGATATTCGCTCCAACGTCGTCTTTTTCTGATGTTTGCGTGACGTTTTGGAGGCCGGTAGCGAATAATTTTCACAAAATTGTATCTTCTTGCCGAAGCCCTCTTCTTGTGACGATAGCAATATTGTTGGAGAATGGTGCCAATTTGGTTACAAAATTTTCGTATAACTCACGAAGGATCGTTGTGTACCGAGTAGGGACGCCCTGGTTATCCAGAGCCTGTGTAACCGCTTCTGTTCCATTGAATTAAGGGTTTTTTCTAATCAATGAAGGTGAGGCGAAGCGGTAGTTTGTACTTTTGTGGGAACTTCAATGGATATTGTGATCGTGTGGATGTGGTCTATGGCACTCAATCATCTTCGCAACCCTGCTTGTTAGCATGGCTGTCCTTCATGCAATGTTCTGTCAATCTTATTCGAGATGACTCGGGTTAAGAGTTCATAGACAACGGACATCAAGTAGATTGGATGATAGTTGTCTATGTCCTGAAGAACTCCATTTTTGAACAGCAATGCCACATTGCTGGTTTTCCATTCATTGGGAACCTTATATTCAGGCAGTGAACAAGTGAAGAGCCGAGCCAGGGTGTTCATGGTAACTGGAGGAAGGTTCCCGGGTGTTCTGATCTAATTCTGTATGGGTCGAGTGCTGTTCTGCTCTTCACCGACTATACAGTATGTCGGATTTTGGAAGGGAGACTGATGGAACGACAAACTCGTCCATTTTCACTTTATATGGCGGTAAGGAGACATGGCTAACGAGGAGATTCGAGTAGTAGTAGTGAGTGATTTTCTCCATTGCCATTCCGGAAATTGCAAGTGCTCCGTCAGGGCATCGAAGTGCAGTCATAATGGTCTATAGTTAACGAAGCTTCGCTAGGCTTTGCGGGTGCTCGTTCCAGCTTCTGCGGCCCCTAAGTGCTGCTCATCTCATTTGAGGCCTACTTTCATGACTTCTCTGCGGCGTTTCGCAAGTTCGGACGTATGCTTTCGGTTACCTGTGGCTAGTGCGATTCCACGTTGGCGCATCAGCTCAAGTGTCTGCACAGACATGTGTCTCTTCGTGACTTAAGGACTATCGGTCTTCATAGCGCTAGCATGAATTTATTCAACGAGTCGATCGTATTCTTCGTCAATGTCGCCGACAACGGTATCTTTTCAAGAGCCGACTAATGGTTTGAATAAATCCCAGTTTATGGTAGTTCCATGACTTCATGGCTTAAATTTAGCGGCTTCCTCTCCTTTCCGCGAAAAACGGAATGTTGTTGATCCGTGTAGAACTTAGGAGCAACAGCGATATCGGTCAGACAAGACCTTCTATTTCCTATGAATGTGGTCTATTTCGTTATGGTACTCTCTATTGATAGACTCCCACGCCTATCGTTGAGAGTGAGGCTTTTGGAATTGTTTTCACCATGAATGGTTTGGGTCGTCATGATGAATTCAGATAGCCTCTCACACTGTTCATTCCATTCCAGTCCACGGGTTCCAATTTGACGTTCTTCAAACGTTCTTCCCTGCCCAATTTTTGCATTGAACTCTCCAACAATGACTTTGGGGGTATACGGTCTTCTCTGAAAAATTTTTCAAGGTCTATGTAAGCGCTCCGATTTTGTCTTCGTCATAGTTGATGTTGGGCGCGCAGGCAACGAAGACGATCGAAGCCGGCATTGATCCATGTCGTTTCAACCACAGTCGTCCGACAGGGCTTGTTAGTTGTTCAAATGAATCGAGGTTCACGGCCAAAAGTTTGTCGAAGACGTCAGCGACGTCGGACCTTCTGCAATCGCATGTTCATAGAAACAGCTCTTCTCCGGTGCCATAAACAGAGTGAAAAGATTGGCGTCTTCTCGTCTCAATTGAGTCAGTGACGTCGTATCTTATCATCCATGCTTGATCAGTAGATCTGCTATAGCGGATTTGTGAGTAAGTGTTTGTTCATTATAGGTACAGATCGTCATTTTAGTCCGTTTAGATTTTGGCAGCCTAGTTTGGCGCTGAGATTTCAGCAGCCTCTCTGTACTCATCCAACCTGGCGTTGATGAACTCGGGGCTCTTTCGGGGCCAGAGGATAAGGCCCATATTTATTGCTATTCTTAGCATTTTGATACTCAGCGCATAGCTCGCCAGGCTCCAGGACGTGGGGGCTGGGTACTCACGAGTAGCTTGCCAGTCTCTCTCGAGAGAGCGGTGGGGAGCTAATTTGTTGGAGGCGCTGCTAACCGCCTCCCATGTACTTCCCAGCTCCTTGATTGCAGGCTTTTGGCAGACTTGACTCGTGGAGATAGAGTTTCGTCAAATCGGCGCTGCAAAAGCAGGGAACTTATGCCCTCATCTACCTGCGTCTCTGGGAAGCACGCGACCGCTTCTGGTTCGCATTGAGTTTCCCAGTCACCGCCTGGGGAGAGCCGCGTGTCCTCGCGGCAACCGGTGGGGTCCCTCAAGGAGTCAAGTTGTGGAAAGAAGATTAGGTTTGCAGATTAAAATCAGTTCTGTCATCCGCACCTTTTTGAATTCCTTGAGAAAACGGCCTTTTGCGTTTCTCAAGCTTTGTATTTATTTATATCTCAAATCTCAAAAATTTCACGGTGCAATATACTTCCGATATGGCTTTATTGTTGCGCTGTAAGAGCAAAACAAAATTATGTCCTTTATCGGATTTTTTTCGCTGGCCAATACTTTTCCTTCAATCGTTTAGCAGTAATTCGCTAGCTTAAACCTTGTCTGATTCCGATAATGTTGCTAAGGATTTGAAAAATACTTCTATTGCGTTAAGCCAAAAGAATGTTGAGTTTGGCGCAGCCCGACATCGAGATCAAACACCTCCTTTTGCCGCTGAGACACCCTGTATAATATATATAATACGTAAGATCAATCGCATAGTATATATAACTGATGTAATAGCCGTTAGCCAAGTAGGCGGAAATCGACATTAGTCACTTTTGCGTAGAGCGTAATTAAACTCGCCCTCGATACTACTATATGTGGGGGTAAAGACACCGTACAAGAGATTGCTTCACAAGAAAGGCACCGTGCTACTCATGATGCGGAAAGGCTGAAACATGTATCTTGCACGTTATAAATAGCCATAGCGGACCTCATAGAAGGCCTAAACTTTGGTATCAAGATGTATTATATATTGAATTATTCAATCAACATTTCCTCTATCTAAATGAAAATCGTCCAGCTGATCTATTCTGTAAGAATTATGAAAATTCCGCAAACCGTAAG